GGGGGGGGGGGGGGGGGGGGGGGGGGGGGGGGGGGCGCCTCTCCAGTAGCTACGAGGGTCCCAGCATCCTCCAGACAGGGCTGCTTTTACCCTGAGGCCCGCACACCGGGCATGCTCACTGGGGCCGGGCTGCAGGGTCGTGAGGCCTGGGGGTGTGTGTGTGTGTGCTCGTGCGGGAGGGGGGGGGGACAGCAAAGTCGAGGCTAGGAAGGGACCGCCTCTCTCCGGTGAGAAACTACACTGCCCAGGCGCTGACCTCCACAGTGGGTCCCGGACACAGGACTAGCAACGGGTCCCAAGAGCATGGGGCAGCTGGCTTACCTGACCCTCAACCAGCCAGGCTCTGCCATCACCAGTGGCTCCCAGAGCTTTCCTCATAGCCTCGGGGTGTTTCACCCTCCAAGCTGAATACAGAAAATAGATTCTCTCTTGCTAAATTTGCATAACTTACAGAGGAGCCTATAAAGAATTTCATTTATTTCCTGGGAAGAGACAGAATTTCACCCTGCATTCCGAAACATCCGCTGAGCCCAGGTGGCCAAGTCCTGCCTCCCTGGAGTGGCTGGGGGGTGCGCTGAGGCTGTTATGAGACCCCTGCCCCTGTCCACTCCCCTGCTGGGGCCCATGGTGGAGGAAGCAGCATCTCCGTGTCTCCTAGGGGCACACTGAGGGATGAGTGGCTCTGACCCCCAGGCCCACCAAAGTTTCCCCACTGTCCAATCACAGCCACGCCTTACCCTTGAACAAAACAGAAAGTAGGAAACAAGGTGCCTTTTTAATTGCAATCAGATATGCTGTCTGAAGCCAGCGCCCGAGCCCGGCCCAGGAGCTGTGTGCGGCCCAGGGCAGGTGGGGCGCTTCGCCAAGTGGCAGAGGCCGGCAAGTCTGCTGAGCTCGCCTTGCGGTGTCCCTGAACCAGCCTCCATGCCCTGGACAGGGAGGCAGGTGGAGGGCCAGGTGGTGAGCGCTCACACCTTCGCACACGCATGCAGACTTTCCCGTGTTCAGGTCTGTTCCTCCTCTGCTGAAATGGTCAGACAGCACTGCAAAGCCGCGGCCAGGCAGGTGTGGGCAGCGCAGCGGCGCCTACTTCTGGATCTGGAAGAGGAAGAGCCGCAGGTTGATGTTTTTGGCGGCCAGCAGCTTGTTGCACTCCACGGAGTCCACGATGGGCAGCGGCACGTAGTCCGTCTCGTTGCTGTCATTGGTGAAGACGAAGTGGTAGATGACAGGGCTGATCTTCACGTCGTCATAGGGGCCCTTGAGCAGCAGGAAGGAGCACTCCAGGGGTGCTGTGACCTTGCTCTTGAGGAGCAGCTGGAAGGACAGCGTGCGCTTGCACGACAGGTTGGGGTTGCGCTCTGAGTCGTTCACTCGCGCCTTCAGGACCCACGTCTGGTTCAGCACCGTGAACCGCGGTGTCTCGTAGTATAGGCGCGTGATGAAGTCGTCCGTGCGGTACGGCCGGAACTGGACCTCTGTGGAGACAGACAGGCCGGACAGAGCCGGCAGTCAGGGTGGGCTGGGCTGGTAGCGGAGCCTTCCGACCAGCCGAGGACACAGGCTCAGCCAGGGAGGAAGGCAACTTACCAGGAGGGCACGGGTGCTCTACTTGTCACAAGGCAAATCAAAGGCAATTATGGCAAATGGAGGCACACACAAGCTTTGGGGAGAGAAGTGACACGCGTTAGCTGCAGGGAGTCCAGAGACAGTGAGGTGGGTGGCCAGCCCGCCCCCTGGCCTCCCTCCTGGCCCCCGCCCGCCCCCGGGCCATGGTAAGCAGACACACAGACAGGATGCAGTTCTGAGAACAGTGCACTTTATTGGTTCCATACAGAGCTGCCAGAAAGCCGGCAGGCAGGCCAGTGCGTGGCATCCGGCCAGAGTCGAGCGCTGGCATGCGGCCCACTGCTGTGCTCTACTGTCACAGTCCTCAGCACAGCACGTGCCCAAGGCCGGCTTGTCCCTCCAGAGGCGGCCAGTCCTTCCTGCGTGGATGGGCTCCCTGCCCTGCCACTGCCCAAGTCACGACGCCTTGGCCTGCCCAGACACCGAGGTCTGGCCTGGACTCTTGGTGCCGCGGCGCCCACCAGGGAGACTGAGGCTGCAACTAACCAGGCCCCAGGCCCTCAGCCTCTCGGCCTGTGCAGGCCCACACTGAGCCAGGCCCAGTCCAGGCAGCATGGTGTGACTGGCTGCCAGCGACCGCCCTTGGTGCTCTGAGCCAGCCGCCGGCATGGGCTGGGCAGTAGAGGCGGGAGTCTCCCTGAGCGGCCCCAGCATCAGCAGGTGCTTCTGGCTGTTCTGTGTCTAGACCAGGCTCTGGCCTGGCTCCTGTTCCCAGCACGTCCAAAGGCAGTGGCCAGGAGAGCCCAGGAGATCCAGTGGGCCCGGATGCGGTCCAGCCTGCCTGTCCCTGGTGTCCATTCCAGCTCTGCGTTTTGAGCTGGGCACCCTCAGCTTGTTCTGAAGCCCTGGCCCTGAGCATCTTCTTGTGGCCTTAGGAGCTTTGTGGCCACTGCAGCCTCACACCCACATGCAGGACCCAACATGACGAGAGTTCTTCTGGCCCCTGGCTCTGCGGGGCAGGCCACCAGTTCCTGGGCCCCCGAGACACCCCTGCCCATCCCCCACACAGCGAGGACACCACCTTGCTGAGGTGGCAGGGCCAGGGTGGGGACGACGGGTGGGAGGGGCCTGTGAGAGCCCTGCAGGTGCCTGAGGTCCTGCCTGGGCTCCTCCCTGCTCAGCCTCTGGTCCATCTTCTCCCCCAAGGTGTCCTCCACTCAACAGGAGCTTGTTCAGAGCCCAGCTGCCTGGCTTGGCCTGTGCCCCCTGCCCAGAGCCCAGTGCTCCCAGGCTCCCAGCTGCCAGCCCCAGGCTCTGTGGCCAGCAGGGGTGGCGGACGCCTCACCTGTGTAGCCGATCTTCTCGAAGCTCAGCAGGCTAAAGATGCTGTTGTAGAGCTGCATCTCCTTGCGGTGGCTCTGGTCCATCTCGTCCAGGATCTCCATCAGTTCATTGCCCGTCTTGGTGGGGTGGGCACAGGCAGCCTCGTGCACAGTCAGCTCATGGAAGGGGCCGTGCCACGGGCAGCCAATTCGCTTGTACTTGCACTGGGTCACCCTGCGGGGGAGGGGGCACCGTGGTCAAGGCCTAAGCCTCAGGCCTCCACTCAGCTGCACACAAGCCGCTCCCTGAAGCACACTCAGTGTGTGTCGCCAGCCAGGAAGAGGCCAGAGTGTAAGCCGGAGAGAAGGAGCTGTGTGAGCACAAGCCATTCACACCCACTGCTGTGGGGTCTCTGTCCTGCTTGGAGATAGTGGCTGCCGACCACTATCCCGGACCTGGTCCAGCTTCACTCTGAGTGAGGCTTCTGTCCAGGCCCAGCTGCTGGGGACTGCGGAGTGGCCAGGACTGGGCTGGGGTGCCTCACACCGAGACCCCAGACCTCCTGAGCTGGCCACGCTCTCCTGGTCCCAGGGATGCCAAGGACAGCCTCTAAGAGGCCACCACACATCCAGAGCACCCTAGAGAACCAGGGTGATGTCCAGACAGTCACTGTGTACAGATCCAAGCCTCCCACCCTCCGTGGGGCCCCACACCCACCCACTGCAGGGTCTGGACCCTGAGCAGCTTCACGCTGGCCCAGCCCTGCAAGGGCAGAACGCGAGGCCCAGGCAACAAGGACCAGCCAGAGCATGCTGCACGCTGAGGCCTGGCCTGCCCCAGGCGGCCTGCAGCCAGGCGGTTACCTGTCTTGGCACTCCTCCTTCTGGTGCCTCTCCAGGAGAGAGCGGGGAAACTGGCGCAGGCAGAAGCCACACTCGGAGGGCAGCTCGCTCACGGCTTTCTCCACAGCCAGGTTGCGGCAGCAGAGGCTCTTACTGATCTCACAACGACAGTTGGGGCATGTGGCCTGCTCCTCCTTCAGCCGGGCATCTGCTAGTAGGTGGATAAAACAGCCAGCGCACATCAAGTGACCATTAGTACACTGCGAAGAAGGAAAGGGAGATGAGCTCACAGACCTGTGGACTCGCGCACACATACACGCTGCCCGCCAGCTCCGCCAGGGCCAGGCCAGCCACCCTGAGGGGCTCGAGCCGTAGGAGGGGCTGCCATGAACAGAGGCAGGGGAGGGGCGCGCTGGTGCTCAGCACCCAAAGGAACACGGCTTAGTAGGGTCAGGCCTCTTCCCTAGAGCCCTGCTGAAACCGCCAGCCGGCTCTGTGAGCTGGTCTCCAGGGTGGCCCGTGGCAGCTTGCAGAGGTTCCGGCTCATCACCGAGGCAGGCCTGCTGGTGGGGAGCCTGGCCTTTCCCATGACAGGAGTCGGAGACAGTCCTGAGGCCCCTGATTTGGGCGCCTACAGGAACTTGGACACTCGGTGGAGCGTGGCAACGGTGCTATGCCAGCAGCTGTTGAGGGGCAGCCGATGCTGCTCCCTGGCCTTCAGAAGGGCCACCTCATGCTGGGGCTGGGACCTGGTCCCTGCCCTCTGCCTCCTTGATGGGCAGGGTGAGCAGGCAGCTGCCACCTACCCAGTGACGGTGGCTACCTGCAGGTGCCTTCCCAAGACCTGGTGGCAAAAGCTGATGCAGGTGGGGAGGCCGAGTTAGCCTGGGACAAGGGCGCATGGCCAGTGCATGCCAGAGGGAGGCGGGAATGGGTGGGGAGAAAGGGTAGGGGGACATGTTGCTGCTGTGGGTAAGAGCCCCCCCCCCCCCCCCCCCCCCCCCCCCCTTCCCCCCCGGCCCCCAAAAAGCTCCGTTTCTGAACCTGAAGATCTGAGGCCCAGAGATTGCCTACAGCAACCTGCCACCCCCACTGAGGCCCTGAGCCTGTGGACAGTAGGCTGCCAGCTCAACTCCTCTCTCGGGTCTCTCACTAGTTCCACACACCTCCTGAGCACCCACGTGGTGCCGAGACCAGGCACGGTGGACCATGGGCTGGGCCTCCACAGGCTCAGTGTAGGGGAAGGAGAGGTACACACAGGAGCCAAAGAGGTACAAGAATAAAGAGTTGAGCTGAGCTGAGCCTGGCTAGGTTGGTCAATTGGTCAGACAATTGGTCAGAGTGTCGTCCTGATATACCAAGATTGCAGGTTCGATCTCCGGTCAGGGCACATACAAGAATCAACCAATGAATGCACAAATAAGTGGAACAACAAATTGATGCTTCTCTCTCTCTCCCTAAAATCAATAAATAAAAAATTAAAAAATAAAAGACTTATGCTAAGTGTCCTCTTGGGGCAAACAGAATCCTGCCCACACAAGCATCACAGACGATCTGCACGCAAACCTCACTTTCTCAGTCAGTGTAAAATGGGGGAGCTGGCTGGCTCAGTCTTGGGGGAGCAGATCTGGCAGGGGCTAGCCCGTCCTGCTTTGGACACATGGCTGGTCCCAGAAGCAGTCTGTCCTGCCCACCCACAGGGATAGTGGAGAACCAGAGAAGTGGTGAGTGGGGGTCAGTGGAGGACACATGCCCCAGGCCCCTGCCACCTCCTGGGAGGTGCAGACCAAGGGCTCAGATCACACTCCTCTCGGCAAGGGCCTGAGCCAACAGAGCCCCGTGTTGCCGCAGCCTCGGGAAGAGCACTGTCCCTGTCCAGAGGCAGGGAGGGAGCGACACGGCCGACTGACCACTTGGTAACGGGAGGAAACTTCAGGCCAAGCCCCAACGCACCTGGTTCAGTAAGGCCAACTGGACACCAACATGGAGACACCCCTGGGCCCGGGCCCCGCGCCAGCCACTCTAGGTCTGGACGCCTCCTGCTGAGCAGCCACAGCTGGGGGCACCAAACCCACAAGGGCCACTCAGCCCAGCGGGAGGTCCCCCTCACCAGGCCCAGCAGGGCCTTGGGCACCACATATCCCCCATGCTCCGCCCAAATGTCCTCCCCTCTTTGATCAAGGGGTGTGGGAGGGACCGCAGCGTCCCAGGCACCCAGCTGCTTCGGTGAAAGCCACACTTCAGCCTGAAGTCCTGGGCCAGTGGCTCCTGATGTCACGCCACCCTGAGAGCCAGGACTCAGGTGGGAACCTGTCACTCGGACTGAGTCAGGCTCATTACTCAGAACTAAGTGCAGCCTGGACCACAAGGTAACGCACACGACCAACCACCACACAAACAGCTTCTCATCTGGCCTGTCCAGAACCCTCCCTGCCCTGGCTCTGGACACCTAAGCAGATACATTAAAACTCCTCTCTGCTACCTGTCTCACCTAAAAGCACGAGCCAGCCGGCCACAGCCCGAGAGCAGGGAGGAGGACCCCAGGCCTTGGAGGGCAAACCCACCTGGACTTACTTGGAACAGTGCCTACAGCCCCAGGCCTGCCCACAGCTGCTCCGAGGTGTGCCTGAGGCTCCCCAATGCCTGTGCCACACCCACCGGCCCTGCTTCCTGAGCCCTTTACCAATCAGGTAAAAGGCCCCGTGGGCCAGGGCCTGAGCTGAGTTTGGGCAGAGACAGGAGGCCTTAGGGAGAGGAGGCGCAGCAGGGCCTGTGCGGACGAGCAGGAGGGGCACCAGGTGGAAGGGGCCCAGGCGGAACAGGCCTGGGTCTGAGGCCAGGAGCTTAGGCATAGGGGTCAGAGGGCCAGTTGGGACCACCTCCCAGAAGCTCCTTCCCCCTGATGAGGGTCACAGGAGCTTTTCTGGCTGAGCACCAGGGAGGAGAGAAAGAGCTACGCGGCCCCTCCCTCCAGACACTCCATGGCTCAGGGCCTCAGCTAATGTCAGGACCAGTGGAGGATGCACTGGGCCTCGTGTGAAGGGCAGGGGAGAGCCTGGGAGGGAGGGAGAGCCTGGGAGGGAGGGAGGGAGGGAGGGAGGGAGGGAGAGCCTTGACAGGTCTGTTTCTTTTGGTTGAATGATCACTGCTGTCCTAGATGTTTAATTAGAGAAGAAAGGGAAAGGCTTGCTAGGGAGGGAGGGAGGGATCAGGGTGGCTCCACAGAAGCTGTTTGTCCCAGAGAAGGTGCCCCTGGCAAAGGGGCTGGTCCCACGGCTGAGACCACACAGCTGCATCCAGAGCAGATACAGCCTAGAGCAGCCGTGGGCAAACTACGGCCCGGCCAGTTTGAAATGAATAAAACTAAAAAAAAAAAGACCGTACCCTTTTATGTAATGATGTTTACTTTGAATTTATATTAGTTCACACAAACACTCCATCCATGCTTTTGTTCCGGCCCTCCGGTCCAGTTTAAGAACCCATTGTGGCCCTCGAGTCAAAAGTTTGCCCACCCCTGGCCTAGAGCTAAGGGTGCAGCCCTCCTGCCCCCACCCCAGGGGCCTACCCCAGTGTCCTCCTGCCTGGGCTCTGGAAGGTGGCCACATACCTTGTCAGGCCAGTCACCAAGGACACATCTAACACCCACACAAAGAACATCAAAGCCAGCACCTGCTGTACCTGCTCTAGCCACAGCGAGACCCATTGGCCTCAGTGCTGTTCGTGGCCCGAGTCCTCAGCAAGTCTCCCGACCCAGGCGTGTGACACCACCTGCCAGGAGAGCCGCCCTGCAGGGCTGAGGTTCAGACTTGAGAGCAGCTGATTGCCCATCACCCGCCCAAGGCGAGCCTCGACCACCACTAAGGCTTCCCTGGGGAGACGGAAGGGGGGTCTGGTGGCCAGAGAGCAAGCTCGTGGGGGACCAAGCACTCAGCTGACTCCAGGCCCATGGAGTTGTCCTCACAGCCAGTGCAGGAGCAGCACAGACACCAGCTGGGACAGCTCTCAGAGGCACGGTGTGGCTGCTGCCCACCCTGAGCCTGGGTCCGGAAGGGGTCAGGAAAAAGTGGCCCAAACCAGCCCAACATTGCTCCTCAAAGAAGGCCCGCAGAAGGGGAAGGGCTGAGCCCAGGCCAACAGGTGGTGGCCAGCAATGGGCATGACCAGGACATGCAGAAAGCTCTGGGCCCCACAGTTTCAAGGCAGCGTGTGGAACCCAGATCCTCCCAAGAACACTCAGCTTTGGTGCCAACCAGGTCTGTCGGGGCCTCTGCCCTCGATGTCCCCATCCAGGGTCACTGTGGGGGTGAAATGGGACACCACACAGCAGCACGTCACCAAGAAACCTTCCCTCCTGCCCCCGGCTTTCGGGCCCCTCCCACTCCGGTTGCGGCCTGAGCCCTGCTGCGCACCCTCACCAGGCACCCCGTCTCCCGCAGCCAAAGTGAGTTCTGACCAGGATAGGGCTCCAGTCAGCCCTCACAGTGCCAAGGGCTCTCCTGCTGATCCCATGTGTTGGGGCTTTCTCCGGCCTCGAGGCAAGATGGAAAGCACCCCAACCAGGCCCAGGTGTCACTGGGAAGAACAGGCTTGCGTGGGGCCCAGCGTCGGGGCTCTCCCTGCTGCCCAGACATTTCTCAGGGAAGCCATGAGTTACTACTCATGTCCAGGCCATGGGGAGGGCGCCGGTCAGTGCTGCCCTGCACCCTCATTCTCCATCACAGTCCTCAGCTCCCAGCACAGTGTGGGCCGGTTTGAACCAGCCAGGCCCAGAGGCCTGGTCACCAGCGGCTCCGGCCACAGGCAGAGCTCAGCTCTGTGCTAAGTGGACCAGGAGCCACTCACTGGAGGCGGCCCTCAAATTTCCCTGGGCCCCATTCCATGGGCTTGGCTTCCTGGGCTGTCACTCAAGGCCCAAGGAAGTTCCCACCTGGGAGGACCCAAGGTCCTGGGCAAGGAAAAGGGGCTGGAGGACGAGTCTGAGGCGCACCCCCAGGCTGCGGGGTTATGCGAAGCTCCCCACTGGCACCAGGCCGAGGGCCTGCAGTGTCCCTACCAGAGCCTCTGGCCAGGAGGGAGGGTTGAGAACTGGACCCACGTCCTCTCTGGCACGCCAGGGGCCTCCTAAGCAACCACGCGGCAGGCACAGCAGAAAGGATGAGACCCCGAGGTTGGGAAAACGGTAAACCAGACTAGCCCCAAACTGCGTATCACAACGGCCCTCACCCAGGCCCCCCGTCCGAGCAGAAGCCCAACTCCTGTAGTGCAGACAAGTGACAGGGAACCTGCTTCATCCCTCACAGGGGCGCAGGGGGCTGGGACAGACAGGTGTGTGTGTGTGTGTGGAGGGCTTCCGGTGGAGAGAGACAAAGACAAAGCAGAGGGCAGGACCCTGTACACTAACTCTGGGGCCAGAGCGTGGTAGCTTCTTAAGACCCACCTGGGCCAGGTACCCTCCGGAACTGCCCTGACCCGGGTAAGAAGCCGGAACACAGCCGCCAGGAGGAGGGTGGACAGACCCCCTAGAGCGCGTAGCCTAGGAAACCGGTCCGGGTGAGGCAGGCAGGGCTGGGGAGCAGGGCTGGGGAGCAGGGCTGGGGAGCAGGGCTGGGGAGCAGGGCTGGGGAGCAGGGCTGGGGAGCAGGGCTGGGGAGCAGGGCTGGGGAGCAGGGCTGGGGAGCAGGGCTGGGGAGCAGGGCTGGGGAGCAGGGCTGGGGAGCAGGGCTGGGGAGCAGGGCTGGGGAGCAGGGCTGGGGAGCAGGGCTGGGAGCAGGGCTGGGAGCCGACCCGGGCACAGCATGTTCAAGAGGCACCGGGTCGGACTAGGAAGGGACCCAGACTTCGCTCGATGCAGGTGCTTCATTCAGACCCGAATGCGGGGAAGGAATGGGGGAGGCATCCCCTCTCTTCTCAGTATTTTTCCAGAAAAAAAGGAGGCCCACTCCGGAGGAAGAAGGGGTGCAGGAGGAGCCTGAGGGCAGGTTTGGGGAGGTGGCTGCTGAAAGAACAGAGGAGCTCCCGGGTCTAGGGAGCTCAGCAATGCGGGGAGCAAGCTCTGGAGGGGTGGGGTGGGCGCCCGC